TCCTGTTTGTAAAAGTGTACCATCACAGTCCATCCCTCCTATGATACAAAGGTATCAAGGGGGAAGACTAGTGAAAAAGTACTGTATTTAATAAATGAGGGATGGGATCAAATGAATGATATTTCCAATATGAACGAGGTATTGAATTTGTCTTTAAACAGTTGTAGTTTGCCTTGTAAACACAGGTGTACATAAAGTGGACATAACAGAATGTTTGAACATATAGGCTGCGTCTAGATTGGCAAGATTTTCCGGAAATGCTTTTAATGGAAAAGTTTTCCGTTAAAAGCATTTTCGGAACAGAGCATCTAGATTTGCAAAAGTGCAAAAGCACTTTTTGCGGAAAAGCGCGTCTAGATTGGCACGGACGCTTTTCCGCAAAAAAACCCCGATCGCCATTTTAGTGATCGGGGCTTTTTTGCGGAAAACAAATCTGAGCTGTCTACACTGACCCTTTTGCGCAAAAGCTTTGAGCAAAAGGGACTTTTGCCTGAACGAGAGCAGAATAGTATTTCCGCAAGAAGCACTGATTTCTTACAGTAGGAAGTCAGTGCTTTTGCGGAAATTCAAGCTGCCAGTGTAGACAGCTGGCAAGTTTTTCCGGAAAAGCGGCTGATTTTCCAGAAAAACTGGCCAGTCTAGACACAGCCATAGAAAACAGCACGTGCAGTTGATACTGATATACCTCTAATGCTATCAGTGTTGCTCTCTCCCTGTCACCAAACCCTTCAAATCCTGAATTAAAGGCCATGGACTGAAGGGCTGTGTCTAGACTGCATTCCTTTTCCATAAAAGGGATGCAAATTAGACACATCACAATCGCAAATGAAGCAGGGATGTAAATCCCCACCACTTCATTTGCATAAACATGGCTGCTGCTTTTTTCCGGCTCGGAGCTTTGCTGGAAAAAAGCGCCAGTCTAGACGGGGATCTTTCAGAAAATAAACCCTTTTCTGAAAGATCCTTTATTCCTCTTGTATATTGCAAGATTTTGCTGTATGTTAACTGTATCAAGGGACTGCCATGGTTTGGGAGGCTGGCACAAGACAGCATTTGCTGCTCTAGAGCTGCAACTTGGATTTTAACAATCGAGTGGATGAATTTAGATCTGTTGTTAGCACATATACTCTGCCATCCAAAGCAAAATATAGATCAATATTAATGCCAAACGAGTTGCTTCTGCTAGCTTTTTCAAAAATTACTTCTAAGTGACAAAGTTGAAAGTTGTAAAAATATATTTTGTTTTAAGAAAACCGATCTCAGACATATCTCTTAAACACTAGCTTAGCTCTGTTCCCACCCACATACTTTTTATCTGTACGTTGCTCTATCTAGGTATTAATATGGCATTAATGTCTCACTGCGTAAGATGCATGGTGCAAAGATGATTGGGAAATTCCCTAACACTGGGGCAGATTGTACTTTGCTGCAGGAAATTATAACCATCTGTACTGAATAAATTGTCTTTTATCATACAGAGTAGCAACAGGGGCATTCAGGTCACTAGGCTGAATTATACTCTATTATGTGCATGTAACCTCCCTGACTTCACAGTCTGGTAGGTGTGACTTTTCCTTTCAACCTCCTCAAGTTCTGGCAACTACTGCTCGAGCAATGCTAGCGGCTCTGACTCATGCCAGGAAACTGATTACGGGTTGGAAATTTTTTGCCTGCTCTGTGTGAGTGTGGGTTGTCAACCACAGCCTAGGATGGGGGTAATGTGCAGATACTCCACACCAATGGGGCATCATTAACCTATGGAGGTATAATACCCCCACCCTCAGGATTCCAGGCATTGTCTGGTGAGTGTGTGTCCTATGCTATCTGTTGATGTTTTCACTATTTCTCCCCTCCTAGCTCTGTCAGCTTGGGATAGACAGGGTGCCTATCTTTCCCCCTGTTTTTCACACACAAAACAAACCTTATGTTCTCCTGAGCAGAGGAACTATAATTACTGTTGGCCATTGCACAAAAGGTAAGATGTGGTGGACAAGGGGTGGGAGGAGAAGATGACTCCCAGAACATGCCTTACCCCTGCCACCTCAAGCATACTTGCTTTACAGGATTGGATCAGATTAGCTGCATCTCTAAAGAAGAGCAGGGTGGAGACCAGGTTTTTAGTATGCAGATTACTTTTAAATCATAGATGGAGGCTAAGACTCAGGTTTGGATGTGACGGTACTGAAAACTGATTAGATTTTGAGATAAAATGGTGGAAATCTCATTAGATCAGCAGCTTTGATTCGAAACCTGTTCTTCCAAGACTTCCGTGGCACCTGATCTGGTATCAGAAAAAAATAGTCCCTTTCCAGTCTTAGATCTGTTCTAAACTCAAACCTATGGGATCTCTTATACCTCAAATGTGACCTTCATCTCTGATATTCAAAGGGGTCAGGGTTTGAGTTTTTGGCTGTTCCTTCCCGTGCCTTTTAATTTAACAAATACTTATTACACACATTTAAACATGAAGGGTAGTAATCTCCAAATAATATATTTAAGGGAGACAACTATTCACCACATGGGATAGGTGTAGACAAGAGGAGGCATAGCTTGACTGCTCTTGTCCTTGTGATTTTCCTCTCAAATTCATGCCTCCAGGAAGGAGTCAGACATGTCTACAGGTTTAGATGTCGTGTGTTGATCTGATATGTGTGACAGCAAAGAGGAAGGTTTAATGATCATCACAGAAACGTTTCAATGTTTAAATTTCTGAGAAGTATGAATGACCATAAAATAAAGGAATGAAAGGACCCAGATTTAGAACCAAGTGCTAGAGAAGAAGAATGATCTTGTGGATAAGGTGCTGATTTCATACTAATAATATCTGGCTTCAGTTCCTGTTTAGAGCTTTGTTGTGAGTTGGGGTAAGTCAGCTGGTCTTTCCATCCTTCTGTCTAGTTGTTAAATGAGAATAACTATTGCTTCCTATGCCCCAACCTATCTCCATCATGTCTTTTTAGACTGCAAGCACATTGGGATAGGGACTGTCTCTACTTACTATGTGTGTGGGGCTTAACCTTGTTGGGGCACCTATCCTTTCCTTTAATATAAAAAGTAATAATCAGCTGCTGTTGATATATAGGGACTGTCCTTGTGTTGAAAGGACTGATTTTCACCTGTTGGGCTTTGAGCATTTGCAGTTGCAAGTCATCAATGATATGTTTTTTGAAAATTCTAGAGAGATCACTTTTACAGGCTTTGGGACTCGGTAAAGATCAATAAGGTACTTGTAAAATGCTCACAGGGAATTGTCTGGAACAGTTAGAAAGCTCTACTTTTAAAGGTTTAATTTTTGAAATGAATGAAACTAAAGAGGCAGCAAACAGCCTCCTCTTGTCTACACCGTAAGCCTTTTCACGGGTGTCAGGCTTATTGTAGATGAGCACTAAGAATTAAAAGAAAAAGTAAAATAATGAAACAATTATGCCACC